ATATCAAGTACTCTAATCAAAATATTTACAAGTAATCAAAATATCCCTATGTACATCAAATACTATTAGCCTACAAAATGGACAACTATACTAATGCTTTTCGTAATTCATACTACTAAGTATTTAGCTGTGATACACTGTGGAGACAATTATGTGCAATAATGAATAGTTTATATGCCATTTAGATAAATAATACAGAGTGGAGGGCAGTTAAGAATAAAAAGGCATCAGTGGGTCTCCAAAAAGTCATTGGTTTTAACACTTTTATTTGACGTAAACTAATTTCATAAATCTCTTCCCAAGCAAAGTACTAAATCACTGGTATGGAATGATGGCCATGCAAATAGTTGCACTGAAGTGCTCATTACATACTTCAATTTTGATGGTCCATTTTCTTCAATAATTCTTAAGCATCTCAAGAGTGGACTGTATAACTAATGAAAGGCCTAATTTAGATGATATTCTAAATGCACACTAAAAGTTATTCTCAAGATGAAAATTCTATTAAGGTCTAAAAGTGGGAACTTTACTTACTTGTATCTTTTGATACATTTTATATACACATTTGCTTTCAAATGAAAGAAACAACTAGATTGTTCATTATTTTAGTTCTCAGCACCTTTAAGTATGCCATATTGTTCAATATGTGAAGAACACGAGGGATTCTGTGACAAAATATTTTGTGAGCCACTGGAAACAAATTGGCAACTCAGCATTTTATTTCTCTAGTTGCAAAATACAGACTATTAAAGTAGTTGAGAACAGACAGGTTGGACATTTTTTAAAAAGAAGAAAAATAAAAACCTTTGCTGTCCCATCCCAGCCCTAAAATTTTAAGCAACAATTGGCTCAATGAAGGAAAGGTAAGTCCACAAGGATGCCTTTCTAAGGGAAAAAGGGAAATAGCTAAGACTAAGAGGTCACAAGGCATATTAAACACATAAAAAGAAGGACCACTCATTGACATTAAGATCTGGTTCTGCAAAAGCCGTTTTTGTTATGACATAACATTTGCAGGTTTTTAAACTTCAGAATATGTTTACAATATAACTTTGTTTTCTGAAGGATTTCTCCAGTTCCTTAATTATACTCTGTAATGGGTGTTCCAAAATGTATCTATGTAAATATAAAAAGATGCATTACTTAAATGTAACTACAACAAGAACTTTAAGCTTATTTCCTTTCTTCATTTTGTTTTGGGGAAACGTCACATTGTTTTGGCTTTTAAGTAAAATCAATTGATCATATGTATCATTAGCATCACTGTATTATACATGTCAGTAGTTAACTGTATTGGTTCTTATTAAATGCACTATTATTTACTCAACACAAAAGTAATCAGGAGCAATTATGGCAGCATATCCTAGCCACCTACTGGGTGCCCGCTAACCGGTGCCATTCTTATGAGTTTTTTGGAATTAAAACAACAACAACAAGCAAAATCCATAATTCTTTCTGAATTGTGTTTACATAAATGCAACAAAATATTAAAATAAATATAGAAGCAATCTGGGGAGGGAAAAAGTTGGAGAAAGGGAGAGAAAACTTCCATTAATGAAGAGAGACTGGTAGAGCACCTGGATCTTATTCAAGCCCCTTCTTTAGGTAGGTAGCAAACACTGGGAAAGGCACTCTATCTATTCAGTTCTGTGATTCTTGAAACAGTACAGATGGGTGTGCGTGCAGTTAGCATCTATCCTCTCCACCCTCCTTTCCCATTCATGACTTCTACCAACACTACATGGAAGCACAGACAGGGGTTCTACCCAGCTTGGCTCAACCAGATTCCTTCATTAAAATTCTTATGAAATCTTAAGTAACAAACTGCTGCACAGAGCGCTAAATTTCCTAACCTATTGTCATAGGCCAGTCTAATGGAACATCTTCAGTTTCCAAATTTGAATCAACATATAGAATAGAAAAACATGTTGTAAACATATTAGTAGTTTTCTAAGTAATGGATCAAAAAAATCACAAGGTTAAATGACTAATTTTATAGGAATAGGTTTATATCAAGAGATTACATTAAGCTCTTGGTTATTCGTGTTTGTATATTGCAAAATGGAGTAAAATGTTATCTTTACACATAATCCCACTGGACCCACAAAATATTCCCCGCGAATGCAGTCACAGATAAAAAATGATGGTGTTTTCACTCCCTTAAACAGTTAGTCTTGGAAACCCACAGCGGGTTCTTGAGTCAGCAGTGGCTCCACGGCAGAGAGTTCGGTGTTTTGAGTCGTCATCACCATAAGATATTTTGTACTTGGAAATGTATTATTTTTCTATGCATCTGCTAAAAATTTTGCAGACAATAAAGGTCCCAGAATTATATCGGCACTACAAATAAACTGTGTTAACCTGAAAGGGATCCTTGATTTAAAAGCCAAATTTACATTTTGAGAACTGTTAATGTTAAGCACCTGAGATATCAGAAATAAACTTGAAATAGCACTTTACTGATAATGATTTAAAACACATTTCAAACTGAAAAGGAAAAACAATTTTGCATCCCATTGTAGCCAAAATTGAGACCCAACAACACACTCTGAAGACTGCACAAGGAGGTACCCCCAAAAAACCAGATTTGCAGTGGGCAGAGAGGAGCTTTCATAGGAGCACTTTTCCCACTAGGTGAGCATCAAGCCACTCACTATGAGTTAGTGCACCCAGCGGTGTCGCCTGGGAAGGTTCTCTCTGGTCACATTGAAATTTTTTTCGTGAAAGCAGTTTCGCTCAAACCTCGCTTTTTGTGATGGCTGACTTAAGAGAACAGCGTGCAGCTGTGAA